CCTAACGCATATTTTTGACATGTTTAGGTGAAAAGCCAAGGCATAACCCCCACTCTAAAGTCAGTTGATTGCGCTTTTCTTTTGTTCATAACATAATTGATTTGTCGACAAAGTATCAGCTTTTGCGGTATTAGTTTTTTTATTTTATTATTTTACGTGTTTAGGAGGCTGCTGCAGCTGCACCCCCCGGAACTGCGCGAGCTGGAGGTCGATTTACTTACTAGTGATACCAAATGAAGCGTAGGAAAAATGTTCAGCTTTTGCCAATTGACTAACTCAAAACGGTCGCTGGCTCCCGGGCTATTATTTAAAGAAAAATAATTTAGACTTTTAAGGTCATTCTAGTTTTGGACAATGCTTCAGGTCACCATAGCAACTATAAAGGTGATATTTTTGCCTCCTAATACGACAGTTTTACTGCAACCTATGGACCAAGGTATAATCCAGGCTTTTAAGCTCTATTAAATTAGACCAGCGGTCGGCAACTGGCGGACTGCGGGAGGTAAAAACTGGACCGCCAAAAATTTTTTGATAGTATAAGTAATCAAATTATTTGAAAAATATTTTTCTGTAGATAACAATACATTTGAGTGCCACCTTTATCATTTTTCAATAGTTAAAAGGTTAGTTAAAAAAAACTAGCTCAAGAACGTAAATGTAACTTCTTCCATTGATTTTTGAATACAAATATTCATGTCTTATATTTCATATTATTTTGTGAGTGCAAATTAAAATAAAAAATTAATAAGGAATTTTTTTTCTCAAGGAAATTGGATGCCAAGCCGAGAGATGTTGATAGGCGATTTTTTGCATGTGAACAATTGCTTCAATGGCAAAAGAAAGAGTTTTTTGCATTGTATTGTCACTGGCGATGAAAGATGGAAACACTATGACAATCGTAAACGTAGAAAAACGTGAGGATTGTCTGGTCATGCACCTATATCGACGGCAAGGCCGAATATTCATGGTTCGAGGCTCATGCTCTCTCTGTATTTCCAGCTTGGTGTTTGTACTATGAGCTGCCTCAACCGAACAAAACCATCATGGGTGATCGCTACCGAACACAATTGATGCGTTTCAGCCGTGCATGGATAAAAACGGCCGCAATTCAAGCAAAGGACGATACAATAATTTTTCAGCATGACAACACTCGACCACAATGCTGAGATGTTTTACCCCACTCGCCACATTCACAAGATATTGCTCCATCAGATTATTACTTGTTCCAACCCATGGAACACGGCCTGGCTAAGCAACACTTCCAATCTTACGAAGATATAAAAAATTTGTATCGATTGGTGGATATCATCAAAAAATTAGTTGTTCTTTTGACACGGAATCTGTATGCTGCCAGAAAGATAGGAAAGAGTAGTGGCTAACAATGCAAATACTTTGAAAAATAATAAGGTACACAATTTTTCACGATAAAGCCTTAAATCTACAAAAAAATCCCTCAAAATTAATTCACTGTCCTAGTATATTGTGGATAATTGAGTCCTCTAGTATCAAAACCCCTTAAATCCGTTTTTGATGAAAAATGAGATATACGCAAATTCCCTATTGATGTGTTCATTCAAATGATTGCAAAAGTTACCTAATGTGTATAAAAATGTACTCTAAAAAGTGCGTTTAGATTCAAACGCCACGAAATCCATTTGAGCTAACGTTCACACCCCACTAAATCCAATCATAGCCAATCATAGAAGGCTAACGTGACAACACGTGGTCGGCGACGCTGTACAAATTTAATTTATGCAGTATTAGATCAGTCATTGTTGTGCTAGTATTATTGTTTTTAGTTTAGTCTTGTATTCGTTAACAAGTGCCAATAAAATAATGTCCGATATTACAACACAAATTGAAATTGTAACACCAGATAAAGGTAGAAACCGAAGTAGATGTTCCAGACCTGAGTGTTTAATTTTATTTTTTATTATTTTAGTTTTTTAGTTTTTCATTAGTTTATTATTAATTTTTACTCGTTTTATTAATTATTAATAGTAATTCATAATTACCTTATTAGTTTGTCTTTAATAAAAATGTGTGCCACCTACATTTTTTTTGTCATTTTCATTTGTTCTTTGTCAAAACCCATTAAATCCACTTTACTGATATTCAAAATCAATTAAATCCTATAGTTGGTTTCAAATGCCACTAACTCCATTTTTGTTTTCAAATTTGTGGGTTTATTATAAACAATTTTGTTGTGTTTGATGCAATTTGTTGTCCAGTTAGTATTAAAATTTCACAAAACAAAATTTCATTACAGAGTCGCTGTCAGAAGTTGGTTAAACAGTTTTTCTTCATTTATGCAAATTTCACTAAAGTGGATTTAACCCTTTCACTGCTCCAGATGTATATATTCGCTAAAAATTTATGGGCCTCAAACTGCTCCAGACATATTAATTCGCATGAATAGTTAAATTGAATCAGGCTGCTCAAACCGTATATATTCGCAATCATGCGCATTAGTGACTGGGTTATTGCAATTGGTAAGGCGAATTTTTGCGGGCGAGCTTATACCGATTGTGACAAATATTTTTATGGAAAGAGGTGCTGGTAATTATACCAAGATTATTCATGTTTCTTTCAGTTTCTATTTAGTACATATATACTGTATTTTATTCAAAATAAAATTGTAAAATTTATCGTAAATCGTAATTTAACACAACATAATGTAAAACTATAAGTGGTCTAACTGCTCCAGACGTATATATTCGCACGCGATAAACTTTCGCGCACGGCGCGGTAGTTACGTTCAGACGTATTGCGCAGCGAAAGGGTTAAGGGGTTTTGATACTAGAGGATTCAATTGGTATTAGACTAGGCGGTATCTGATTTGGTTTGGGTGAATCGTATATCCACAGAGATTTTTGGCTTTTTGACTTTCAAATATCACTAGAAATGAAAATTTTTCTGTGCGCATAAAAAAAAACGTGGGCTTAACTTTTGGCGGTACAATATGTTAAAAAAATTTTAAAAATGTCATATTTTGCTTCCTCTCTAATTATGTATCTTTTCAAGAGTAGATTTTAGGCGAAAATGGAAGAGGAAACAAATGTTTGTAATTAAATTTTACAAAATCGAATAAATCGTGATTATTGTAAAAATGGAAAAAATCGCCAAAAGTGGGGTTAAAAAACATTACTTTTTAGGGAATTTTTTTGAGGTCTGTGAGTTGGGTATAGGGTGAGTAGGGTATAGGTACTTGGCTCAAGAAAAGTTCATGTTATGTAGAATACCAAATGCCAAATTTCATCAAAATCGGTTCTATTGGTTTTGCATAATAATTTTGCAATGCAGATTCTGAAAAAAAATTTGCAAATTTTCAAAATTTTGCACAGCAAAAACCAAGGCCCTTAGATACTTGAAAATTTAATTACATATAGTAGGGCTCCCAAGCTTTCAAACGCTTTTTGAAAAATTCGAATTCGTCAATTAGGAGAGCTCTGGCGCTTGTTTAAACATTGATCAAATTTTTGTACTTATAAAAAATTAGAATAACTTTGTGAATATTCAATCAAATAAAAATTTTTAAAGCATATTTAAAAAGTTATTGGATAGACGCTTCTTTAAAAAAAAAAAAACAGATTGTCATTTACATTAAATGTACTGGGACATCCGGGCTAATTTTTCGAAAAATACCTGGTATTCCGAGTACTTATCAGGTCTAAGTTTGAAATACTTTTCTTCATTGGCAACCTACTTTAAAACACGTTTAAAGTTATTTATGCAAGCGAGAAATTCAAGAAAATCGTACGGGTGGTGGTGCAGAGCGCGGCCTCTTTGGTCTGCTCGAAATTGAATCGGCTAGTTCAAAACCGCAATGCGCTTAAAAATTTTTAATATCTCAGCTTCTAGAGGTCCGCTTATGATGATTTTTTTTTAAATCGGTGTCTCGCGATTTAAATAAAAAACAATTAGCATATTTTCAAATGCCTATCGTTAATAATTGGTCTTTCAACAGTCCGATAATTATTTATCTTCAAACTTCCTTTAATTATCAACTTTATTTTTTTATTTTATCAAAGGTAAGAGCATAAACTTATATACTGTTTATCAAAGATCAAAAACAAATTTATTTCAATATTCTAAAATTGTTCAAACTACAATTATTTTCAAAATATGTCGAAAATAGTAATTAAGTTATTAATTAATTAATTAATTAATTGATGATAGTAATTAATTATTAATTACTATCATTTCTTGTGTGATTAAAGTATAATTCAAATATTATTTACTATTTAAAATATAAGCAAATGAGAAATTAGCTCATTATATTACAAAAATACAAAATTATAGTACAAAAATTCGACCAATGTTTAAACAAGCGCCACAGCTCTCCTAATTGACGGATTCGAATTTTTCAAAAATCGTTTGAAAGCTTGAGAGCCCTTCTATATGTGATTAAATTTTTGCTGTGCAAAATTTTGAAAATTTGCAATTTTTTTCAAAATCTGGATTGCAAAATTATTATGCAAAATCAATCGAACCGATTTTGATGAAATTTGGTGATGATTCTACATAACATTAACTTTTCTTTAGCCATGTATGAAGGTCCTAGACCCCAAAAAAATTCCCTAAACAGTAATGTTTTTTAACCCCACTTTTGGCGATTTTTTCCATGTTTACAATAATAATCATGATTCATTCGATTTGTAATAGTCATATTTTGTAAAAAATTTAATTACAAACATTTTTTTCCTCTTCCATTTTCGCAAATGATACATAATTAAATAGGAAGAAAAATATGACATTTTTCGAATTTTTTTAACATATTGTGCCGCCAAAAGTTAAACCCACATTTTTTTTATGCGCATAGAAAAATTTTCATTTCTAGTGATATTTGAAAGCCAAAAAGCCAAAAATCTCCGTGGATATACGATTCACCCAAAGATGGACTCTTTGAAACAGATACCGTCTGGACTATATAAGTAATTAAAAAGGTAAGAGAAAATACTTTTGGTTTCAGTTGAAGTTTAAATATATTTATAGCCTACCTCGGGTACTTGTCCATGCCAAGACTCTGATCCAATAACTATATTTGGCAAAGGTTCAGTGTCTTCTAGAACTATTGTTGTTCCTAATTCATTTTCTGTAGGTACAGTCTCGTCTAAATCCATTGCCTAAGAAGGTAAAAAGATCGTTACTAAATATTAAAAATTAACAATTTACCAACATTTTGACTAATCTACTATTAAATATGTATGATCATTTAAAAATACGAGACACTCAAGTTTCTTAATAATATTTAATGACTAATCAATTCGTATAGCCTAGATATATGTCAACTTTTTAATATGCATGAGGTTAACCTCGATCAAATGTTTACTTGTATCACTGGTTTTATAAGCTAGATTGTATTATTTATAAGGTGTACAGAAATGCATATGCCAAACTTTACCCTTAAAACAATAAAAATTTTTATATTAAAATTGTCAAACCTCGAAATGACGAAAAAACTGATAACTTCTATGTAATTTTTAAAACAATTAAACAAATTGATATTAATAAAGATCATTAAAAAATCTTACAAAAAATGTTTTTATTCCAACCGTTTCCGAGACAGAACTAATTTAATAATTTAGTATATTTTCAATATGAATGAAGCAGCATTTTGACATAAAAAAGAAAACAGTTTTATACAGGGTTTTATTCATTAACAATGGGAAAATCGAAAGCTGAAGATACTACACGTGAAATGGTGACTATTGACGCAAACATGCCTTATGCGAAAGTTGATAGTTTCGGAAATATAGGGTGTTAAAAGTTGAAATTTCAAATCGTTTTTTTGCGATTATTCTGAAAATATGTAGGTTAGGAACTTGAAAATTTGTGAAACTATATTTTTATAGGCGACAAATAAGATGCGTGCTGCAATTTCAGCATTGCTCGTAGAGGGCGCCACTTACGACAAATTTTACCGAAAATTTAGTTAATAACTTTTTACCCTGTATGTCTAACATGAAACTTGATTCAAAATCTGAAAGAGCAATAATTTTTCCATTAATTATGTATTTTGTTTCATATCGGTATCTCGATCCCTTTTTGAGAAAAATCAATTTAACGAACATTATGTTTTGATAATACGAGAAATTAAAACCGAAACAAACTAAGTGTTTCCTCATGTTATTACAACATTTAACAATAAAACAAGATGAAATATGTAATAATGATTTAAGGTAATTATTCGAAGAATCCACCTTTGACACTGATACACTTTACACAACGTTTTCTAAGAGATTTAAAACAACATATTGGGATTGCGTCTGACTTCGTTGGCAGCGATTTGTATTCATTGCCACAACCCTTCATGCGAACCAATACATTCTTTGTAAACTATATCTTTCATTCGAGACCAAAAAAAAAAAATCAAGAGGATTGAAGTCCGGACTTCTGGGTGGCCAAGCAAAAATGCCACATAGCCAATCCAGCGGTTTGGAAAAACTGCACCTAAATATGCACGCACTGGCCGAGAAAAATGCGGTGGAGCTCCGTCGTGCATGACTACATGTCTCTTCTTAAATAAAGTAGAAGTTTTTCAAGCCGTGGAAGAATTTTTTGCTTGGCCACCCAGAAGTCCGGACTTCAATCCTCTTGATTTTTCTTTCTGGTCTTAAATGAAATATATAGTTTACAAAGAATCTATTGGCTTGCATGAAGAGTTGTGGCAAGGAATACAAATAGCTGCCAACGAAGTCAGACGCAATCCCAATATGTTGTTTTAAATCTCTTAGAAAACGTTGTGTAAAGTGTATCAGTGTCAACGGTGGATTCTTCGAACAATTACCTTAAATCATTATTACATATTTCATTTTCTTTTATTGTTAATTGTTGTAATAACATGAAGAAACACTTAGTTTGTTTCGGTTTTAATTTCTCGTATTATCAAAACATAGTGTTTGTTAAATCGATTTTTCTCGAAAACGGATTTAGATACCGACATGAAACGAGAGTACATAATTAATGGAAAAATGATTGCTCTTTCAGATTTTGAATAAAGTTTCATGTTAGACATACAGGGTAAAAAGTTATTAACTAAATTTTTGGTAAAATTGGTCGTAAATGGCGCCCTCTATGAGCAACGCTGAAATTGCAGCACGCATCTTATTTGTCGCTTAAAAAAATATAGTTTCACAAATTTTCAAGTTCCTAACCTACATATTTTCAGAATAATCGCAAAAAAACTATTTAAAATTTCAACTTTCAACACCCTGTATTTCCGAAACTATCAACTTTATAAGGCGTGTTTGCGCCAATGGTCACCATTTCACGTGTTGTATCTTCAGCTTTCGATTTTCCCATTGTTAATGAATCACCCAATATAAGCAATAGGAGTTGCTAAATTATCTTGAATATAATGCAAAATATTACACCCCTGAATTAGACTTGAGATTAATTACACAGCCCCACAGAAAAAAAGTGGCAGGTCCGAAAGACAAGACCATGGTATCCATATGGTTTTGGGGTCGCTGAATCCGAATCCGGTGTCCGTTTGACGCGATTAGCTCTGGTTTAAGGTCCGTTCAAGGTCAAATGTAGAAAATCAATTGTCAACAAACTAAACCTACATGTCTATATGTTTTTGGAGTCACTGAATCCATGTCAGGCCAAACGAACAGCAGATTCGGATTCAGCAACATAAAAAACGTATGGATATGTAGGTTTACTTTGTTCGCAATTGATTCTCCACATTTGACCTTGAACTGACCTTAACCCAGACCTTATAGGGCCAAACGAACACCGGATTCGGATTCAGCGACCCCAAAACCATATAGATATGTAAGGTATACTTTGTTGGCAATTGATTCTCTACATTTGACCTTGTCTTTGACTTAATCACCATTATGTCTTCATGCAAAAATTATTCAAAATAATATTTTTTGGAGTCAATACAGGGAGATGTTGACAACCCTAATAATATGAAACCACCGTAATACTCACGATTATTTTAAAACTCACAATAAAGAAAAAGATCCTCAAAAAAACATCAGCTTTCTAAAAAATTATACATTACCTCAACTTGTGAAGTGGTGCTAACATTATGCACACTGGCATCACCCACATCATTTCTATTTACAACTGACGGCAGCGAATTTTCTGATCTCCTTACGATGTACGGTTGCAGTACACTTTCCGGTACACTCAAATTTGACATAACCTGACGCAAATGAACGCGACTTGTCACAAGAGTCCAGTTTTGTATCTCCTGGGGAACGTCCGCCATAAAACGATTCTGAAATAATGCCGCATTAAGAAGCCATGTGGTACTTTGTTCGCGGGGATAAAACCCACCATAACTTGTTCGAAGACTTGCTCCACGCCCTCTTGTCCATTGGAACTTGCTCTGAGCGTCAGAGAGCACAGTTGGTGGGCGGTCGTAATACACTGATCTGAAAGGAGCCGGACACTGTTCGGGCTAAGGTTTATAGCAATGCTGATAATGTTTGGTAACCGGTGTCGGAATAACTGTTCTGCAGACCTCACCATATCTATATCGTCTTGCACAGGCAAGGCTCTCTAAAAATCGAGAAAGAATAAAATTAATGCATTAAGTTTTCGTTTCATTGACTCACGAAGTTTTCCAGGAATGGTTGCATTTCTGCTATGATCCTATCAACTCCCCTATCAACACCAGCAGGGGACGTGTCCCCGTCACACACCCTCGTTCTGAAGAAATTTTGAATTTCAGTTCGATTCCTGTTGATAGGTTCAAAATTACCGCTGTTTAGAGTGAACAAATCGCTGAAAATATAAATATTATTTGACATTCCTAAGCTAGGTTGTAAAACTTACACAAGAGTTAGATTTCTAACGAAAAGCATTATTAAGTCGGTAATAATACCTTCACCTTCTACATATTGCTCATCTTGATGAAATTGCTGTAGGAGCTGATCTAAGGTTGGACCTTGTCGTATTAGATCTGGCAGGTTCTAATGTAAAAAAAGAATTACACATACTTTTATGGCTTTGCATACTAGGTGTTTTGAAAAGACACCATAAATTCAGAGGCTGCTGGAATATAAAACTATCTTTTGTTTTTGAAAAACAGATATTTTTTTCAAGTCAAATTTTGGCCATATACAGGGTGTCCCTAAATTAAGGGGCAATATTTCTACACGTCGAAAAGGATTACTTTTTCTTTATATAAACGTGGGTCCAAAATTATTCCTAAGGAAGTTACGAGGGTGGTCTGAAAAGTTTCCGATCTCAACATGAAGATGGCAGCACTCGTAAATAAAAGCTAGCGAATTTCGTTATTCATCTGTTGACAGTTACTCACCAAAGTTTCAGCCATTTTGGACGCGCAGTTGTTATGTAACAGTCGCTTGAGTAAGTTGATGTGAGTGTTTTTATGAAAATGGACAAAATCGAATATCGAGCTGTCATTAAATATTTGTTTTTGAAAAGCAATACGCCTACGCAAATTAAAGATGAGTTGGATTCTGTGTATGGGGACTCTGCACTATCATTTGCCACAGTGAAATTTTGGGCAGCTGAATTTAAACGTGGCCGTAAGAGCTTGGGAGATAATGATCGTTCGGGACGTCCAAAAACTGCAATTACCGACGAAAACATCGCCAAAGTTCACCAAATGGTGCTAGACGACCGCCGAATTAAAGTGAGAGAGATAGCAGCGGTTATGAACATGTCAAAAGAACGTGTTTGTCACATATTAAATCAACATTTAAACATGAGAAAGCTGTCCGCGCGTTGGGTGCCGCGTTTGCTCACGTTAGACCAAAAACGTGTTCGAATGAACATTTCCAACGCTCTGTTGGCGCAGTTTAGGCGCAGCAAATCCGAGTTTTGGCGCCGATTACTTACTGTAGATGAAACTTGGATACACCATTATGCGACCGAAACAAAAATACAGTCCAAACAGTGGACTGCAAAGGGAGAACCGGCCCCAAAAAAAGGAAAAACTATATTTTCGGCTGGGAAAGTGATGGCGACTGTTTTTTGGGATAGTAATGGAGTTATTTTAATCGATTTATCTTCAAAAAGGAAAAACCATTACAGGAGCATACTACGCATCATTACTTGACAAGCTGAAGGCAGAATTTGCGGAAAAACTACCACATTTGCAGAAAAAGAAAATCCTGTTTCACCAAGACAACGCACCGTCTCACACCTCAGCGGTTGCCATGGCAAAAATCCAAGAAATTACGGTTTGAACTGCTTGACCATCCGCATTTACTCACCAGATCTAGCCCCAAGCGACTTCTTTTTGTTCCCTCATCTAAAAATTGCGCTCGGAGGACAGAGATTTTCGCCAAATGAAGAGACAATCACCTCTGTGAACAATTATTTTGCAGAGAAAAACGCCCAATACTATTTTGAGGGGTTACAGAGATGGGAGCATCGCTGGGAGAAGTGTGTAGAGTTACAAGCAGACTATGTTGAAAAATGAAAAAAAAATTCTGAAAAAATCTTGTATTTTTGTTAGGTCGGAAACTTTTCAGACCACCCGCATATAGCCTCTTAAAGGGGCCTTTCTGATGATGTTTTTTTCTAAATAACCCTGAAACAAGTTGAGATAATATTTTTGTGTAAAATCCGTTTAAAAATAATGTTACATGTGTTAATCACCGTGAATCGAAATTACCAATATTTTCTATCGTAGCGGGTTGTGAAGAACAAAAACGCATTTGATGTTATTTGCATTGACAGTTCAGTTATTTACTTTTTACGAATGTTATATTCACAGGAATTTATTATTTTTAGTAAATTCTTATTTGACTAAATAAAAAAACAACTGAAATTATTAAATAGTAATACAATAAACTAATAAAAATAATTGAAAACCAAACTATTAATAAAACTATCTTTATCTCAATACTAATTTTTAGCTCAAAAAGGTTTCCATTTTGCTGAATAAATTTTTCAACTCGTCAAATTACCCGCAAAGACCTCAAAACTTCACAACTATTTTCCCTGATTTGATTCGCAGCCAAATGAATCCTCTGTTGTAATTCTTTCAAAGGATTACCCCACAGAAAGTAATCTAGAGGATTTAGGTCTAGAGATCGAGATGACCATGGGATGCGGCCACCTCTACCTCTCTCTTTGGAAAAGATCGGTGGAAAACACGATGCGAGCGCAATGAGCTGGGGAACATCTAGCACAAATGCACGAAAACATGGGAAAGAACTCCACCAAGCGTGATCAAGACTAGCACAGACCGTGATGCGATGAGACCGCAACCGCCTAATGTGTTCTCTGATTTAAAGTTCTCATCCACGGTGCAGTTTATCGAACAGTAATATCAATATGTCGTCTTTTATTTATCATAACATTGCAACAGCTACACACATTCGATTGCTCTTTTGATAATTGAAAACATTTTCTCGTATCGTCTGACTAATTGCTGGCAGAAGAATTAAATCCCTGCCAGAATTGATCATAAAAGGTCGATGAATCGAAGTGATTTTAGATATATTGCTCATTGCCTTTGATAAACCATACTGTCATTACGGCCTTTGACCTTTCTCTTTTCAAATATATGGTGAAACCCACTTAAAAAGTTATATCCTAAAATATTACTGGAAAGGCTATAACTAAAAAACAGTCAAAAAACAAACAACACTGACGATACTAAATTTCAATGCAATATATTATTTTTTGGCAAATATTTGGTTAAAATTTAACAGATAATAGACCCTCAATTCTTAGAAAATCGTTTTCTTAATATTCTAACAACCAAAACTTATGGCACTTTTTATCAAAACATTCTCACATTTATCCAACTTCTGTATTAAAATAAAAATTACAAATACAGTATTTTTAAAAATATGGTTTCCTTTACATTTCGACACTTTAGTAGGAAAACATGCTATCTCAGATTTCGGTTGGAAAACATGCTATCTCAAATTAAGTTTGGAAAACATGCTAGCTCAGATGATCTTTAAGTAAAAACATGCTATGTCAGTGTGACTAGAAATTTAAGTTGGCACATTGAATGATTGAAACGGTGCATTTATAATAAACTTATAGTATACAGGGTGTCCCGAAATTCATGCAACAAAATTTGGTCATAGATTCTTAAGACAAATTTAGGGGACCTGTATTTTTTCTTTTTGCCTACTAGCTCCCTTTTTCGGAGTTACAACCCCCTGAAATCTTCCCCTAAGAAGTCTTTTTTATATCTCAAAACCTTGTTGTACGAGAATCACTAAATTAGGTACACAGGGGTTTTATGACATGTGGAATCTCAGGGTGCTACGCTTTTTGGCGAGAAACTCTCTTAAGACACTTTTTTGTGGGCCCCCTTGTCTTTGGAACCAGAAAAATGTGGTCGCAAATTTGATTTTTTTTATACATTATTAGTTAGCTAGAAAGCCATTGAATTTAAAAACTTTTTTGTCTCTTGATATTTGTTTCGTAAAACGCAATGTTTTTGAGGAAAATGGCGAATCACGATATGCATTAGATCACATTTTGACATTTTTCTCAAAAACATTGCGTTTTACGAAAAAAGTATAAAGATACAAATAGTTTCTAAATTTAATGGATTTCTAGTGGACCGAAAATTTTTAAGAAATTTAAATATGTGACCAAATTTTTTTGGCTTCAAAGACTAGGGGGCCCACGAAAAATTGTCTTAAGGGGGTTACCTGCCAAAAAACGTAGCACCATCACATTCCACATGTCATAAAACCCCTGTGTACCAAATTTAGTGATTCTCGTACAACAGAGTTCTGAGATATAAAAAAAAGATTATTCTTAGCGGCGGACTTCAGGGGGCTGTAACTTCGAAAGAGGGGGCCACTTGGCAAAAATAAAAAATACGGGTCCCCTAAATTTGTGTAAAGAATCTGTGACCAAAATTTGTTGCATGAATTTCGGGACACCCTGTATTTTTCAAAAAGTAAGGAATGTTTATGTTCAGCTACACTGTTTCTTTTTTTTTATTCAACATTTTTCAATTAATTTTGTTAAGTTACTGTTATAAATGACAAAATTGTTAATTAAAAAAATATAATAATATGCAGTATGCTGCAACAGGTACATTACCAGATGTTTTTTGAAATAACAAATTATAAAAAAATAGTATATACCTTAATATACAGGGTGTTTCTTAATAACGTGCTAATATCTAAGGTTATTCTTGGGTCTATTTTAAGGAAAAAACTTATGAACATGTCCTAAAAGTCTTAACTTTTGAACTACAGGGTGCTAAAGTTTTATGAAAAACATTTTTTATAACTTTTGTATTACCCTAAATATTTTTTCAAATTTGGTACACGCCTTCTATTCATCGAGATGCATTTTCTGATGTACAAACAATTTTATTACTTTTGCCACTGGCATCTGTACAGGTTTTGTATTGAATATTTTTGAAGAAAAATATGTTACGTTACTGCTAGGAATGATGGAAAAGCTGTGTGAACGATACATAAGGGACAGTGTGCTTATGGAAAGACAGCCACACTATAATCAACATGCATAGACTACGAGGCGATCTACCGATACTGCTTTCCATCAGGTGGTGGGCAGGATCGAGAAATCTTTGGACCACAAGGAGTCCACCCTGGGGGTATTCATTGACATAGAAGGGGCGTTTGATAAAATGTCCTTTCCCAAAGTCAACTCGGCTCTCATGGAGACAGGGGTTTCTTCACCATCTGCAGATGGACATCAAATATGCTCACAAAAAGAGCTATACAAATCAGTGTGGGGGATGCCTCCGCGCGAGGAATTGTTGCAAGGGGCTGTCCCCAGGGAGGTGTTTTATCACCACTGCTGTGAAACTTAGTTCTAGACAGTCTCCTATGCCACCTCAACTCGTAAGGCATCTGTACCATCCCCTATGCAGATGACCTCACTATGCTGATTAGCGGAAAATTCGAAGGGATCCTTTGCCAAAGAATGCAAACAGCCCTAAGAATTATTGAAAAGTGGTGTGAGGACCATGCTCTGTCAGTGAACC